TTTTACAAATAAAATACTCCGTTTTTTAAATTCTTAAATATACTCCGTTTTCTAAATTCTTAAATATATTCCGTTTTTTTAAATTCTTAAATATACTCCGTTTGTTAAAATTTTTAAATACAGTACTTTTTTAAAATTTTTAAATATACTCCGTTTTTTTTAATTTTTAAATATACTCCTTTTTTATTGTAAAATTAACACCAAAAAAATATCCAAATGATCTTATATTTATTATTTTTTAAAAAAAAATCTGTATAAAAAAATAAATAAAAAAAAATAATATTAAAAATTTCCCCGTGATTCAGTGAGTTACCAAATAATTTTATAAACCAACTTGGGTCTCTAATTGAATTCAAAATAATGGCAGCGTGTAACCATATAGGATCTTTGAGAAAAAAAAATTAAACATTAATAAGGGGAATGGAATATAGAAAAAAAAAAGTCTTCAGAGCAACAAAAAATTTAAATTTAATATTTTTTAATTGTAAAAAACATTCTACAAACAAATAAAAAATATTGACATCTTGCTTCATTCAAAATTTTTAAAATCAATTTATTTTACAAAATTGAATCCCATTATATTTCAAAATTTAAGTCCAATCCGGCCCGACCCGAATTTTTCCCAAAATTAGGCCCGACATAGCTCCAACCCAACTCTTTTTATAAAATAGGCGCAGCCTATGGATATTTTTTGAAATAAATAATAATAAATACTATTGAAAACCTCTAACGTATTTATATTTTTGATGATTTTTCTTATATAAAAAATATGTAATTAAATTTAATACTGCACTACCCCCAAGTGCTAGTGTTGAACGATTATTTAGTATGGCAAAGCTTATATTTTTTGATCGTCGCTCTAGACTTGGAAATGACAGTAGAGAAATGATATTATTATTGAAATGCAATAAAAAAAAATTTGAAATTATAATCATATAAATATTTTTTATTCATGGAAATGGATAGGTACAAACATTTTTAAAAAATTCTAAAGTAGCTTTAAAAGTAAGAAATAGAGCGTTACTTATTTTGTAAAATAGCGGTAGTCTTAGCGCGCTATTTTTAAAAGTAACGTTTACAACACTTAAGTTAGTAATGGTAATCAGAAATTTACTCCCTAGATAAATTCATAGATCCTGTCAGTTAAGGCAATCATCGTATCAAATGTAAACCATCAATATTGTTTGTATATAATTTATAAAATAGTTTAACTTGAAGATATAAAGGAATGAAAAAGAAGGTAAAAGAAATAGGGTAATAAATAATCAATGTGGTAGGTATTGGTAATATCATCGAACATTAATAGGTAAGTAAATTATCTTTCACCTAATATTATATATTTTTATTTTATTGTATTTATAATTATATTTTAGATGTGTGACAAATTTTTCTTTTTTGTCAAATTTTTTTAAAAAAATGAAAAAATAGTATAAAAATATATTAATAAACTCCCCGAGGAAAAAATAAATCTTTAATAATTTCATATATATGATAACATAAAAAAAATAGTAAAATAATAAATTTTGAGACAATAATAATTTTTTTAAACTTTATTTTTTTAAATTTTTTTTAAACATAATAATTTAGTCAGTTAATCCACCGATATTACATGCTTGTTTTTTGTATTATTTTTTTTTAACTAATTTTATTATAGTAAAATTAACTAACTAGCAAGTGCTAGAACTAGAGGTCCGGTCCGCGAGCAGGGCCAGAAAAAAAACCTAAAGGCCTGACAAATTGTTCAAAATATTTTACCGGATCCGACAGGAGTTTTGAAAATGTTTTTATAAAATAGTCATTACTGACCGTGCCGGATAGCTAGTATATAATGTATTTTACCGGGTGGCATATACATAATTAGGGCGACCTATAAATAGAGAAACCATCAAATTCTGGGTATTCATTGAGAGGGTTAGTTGGACATTTTTAAATAGGTTCCATTAAGTTACTATTATCAAAATTTCCGCTAAAGAAGAGTCTTCCACTCCAGAACCATAATTTGGGTTCACATCCTTACGGTAAACTACGATAGTTGAGGATTTGCTCTATTTTTTAGTTGGCTAAACTTACTTTTTTCTTAAGCATCGGATTTCCTTTTTGAAAGTATCCACTTACGAAGAAAGCTCAAATGGATAAATTTGCATGCTCAACGATGTTTTTCCGGTACGCCTGTATATTAAGCTGAATTAAGTGATTATTGGTCAATATTATCCTATAGGTATATCCTTATTTGATCATTATATTATTATTATCCAAGATTTTCTTAGAGGGGGATTTTGGTGGCCTCCCTTTGCTACGCTTTGCTACGCTTTGCTACGCTTCGCTTATGGTTCTTATCCCGTCTCCATTATGAACGCGCCTCAAAAACCAGATTCTAGTATTTCGAGATTGTGGCGCTTTTACATATGTCGATGTGACATATATGGTAAATTTTAAGCTCCACCGCCATCGTTAATAAAGATATTATATCGAATGCCGAGCAAATATATTACACCCCAAAAAATCGTAAATGCATTAAAAGCGCAAGCCTGATGTGAACTATGCTAGGATATCAAAAATTAAACTTTTACTTAATTTAATTAAAACTAGATGGAGGATAAGTCATTAAAAAATGAGGGGAAAGAATGGGGTGGGCTGAGCATTTGCATCTCTTAATTTTTCATTTTTGAGCAATCCCGAATTTATTTTTGAAAATTACAGCATTTTTTAGCAATACAAAAAAAAATGATAATTAAGTCTTTTTAATACCATTTTCCACCCCATAATGAAAAGGAAAAAAAATTGTGAACCCGAGCCGTACCTGAACCCCTTTATAAAATTTCCAAAACCCTGAACCGAACCCGAGATTTTTTTGAACCAAGGTTTAACTGAGTTCAGTGAACATTGTTTAAAATCTTATATAAAGATATTTGTAAAATTATGAATATAAATATTAATAATTTTATGAGATTTTTTTAATATTTTCAATTTATTTAAATATAAGCGGTAATAACTTAATGATGATGTTGTTAATTTATAGAGTAGGATTAAACCCATATCCACGATCATTTTATCTGATTTTAATAGTTCGGATGAAAACAAGATGATTTAGAGAAATTTACCTTTTAAAGAAAGGCGGGAGAAAATAATTAAAAGAGAGCCAAAGATTGCAGAGAAAAGTATTGGAACGATAATAATTGAATTTGGCGATTTTAAAAGATTGGATAATAAGGAAAATATTTTGTATTTTTGGGAGTCAGCTAAGCTTCAGTACCCTGATTTATAAATTTTGTCCAAAATCTTTTTGCTATTTCTGCAACCCAAGTTAATTTAACATATTCATATAAATATATCTAATAGAGGTTAGCGGCTAAGGATCTTTTTCGTATTTGAAATTCATTCTGTATAGATCGAGGATGTGTAAACAACTCTTGTAAGATATTATGCTAATACGTCTAAATAAAATTTATAAAATTGATACATGACATGTAATTTTAAATATATTTTGCCTATAAATAAACTGGAAATTTTATTTTTTTTACTAAATTTATGACTAGTTTTTTAATTTTGCCTTAAATATTGAATTTTTTTTTATCAATTCGAAATTCCAAAACCCGAGTTGAACCCGGAATCAAACCCAGGTTCGAAAATATTCCCCAGAAAAACCCGAACTATTTTTTTTTGCCTGGAACCGAATCCGGCTTAAATTTTTGCCGGGTTTGCATTCCTGGTTCTAATTATTTCATTCAAACTGGAAGGTCAAGGTCTGTTAGTTATCCATAATTTTCGTTTGGTATAAACACTCTAATGGTTGTTTCGTCAACAAAATTAAATAGTAGCTGCTATTCACTCACCCTTCTCTCAAAATTATAAAATACCCTAATGTTTTTTTTATGAATATTCAATGAATTAAAATTTAAAGAAAGTTTGAAAAATAAATAATTGACTTTTGGCGAAAACTTTAAAAAAAAGTAGTTAAAATTTTTAATTTCCGATTCGGCAAATTTTATGCAAAATAAGGGGACTATCGATAAATTAAAGGAAATCATGAAAAGGATTAAAAGAAAATAGAATCATAAATTAAAAAATTAAGAACGTAAAAAGTAATCTATATTTAAAAAGTTAATTTGTTGTTCCTCAATCCTTAATTTTTGTTTTACATTGTTTTTTTAAGTTAATTCATCAATGATTAAAAAATTGTAATTTTTCTTTACATTTGTAAAATTTAAAAAAAATGATGTTTTTTCCCCCTTTATTCATTTATAATTATTAATGTTTTTTTTAAAATTTATTTTTCTCCTTTTTTTTTTAAAATTATTTTCATAGTTTTTTTTGTTAACATATTATAAATTGCCCACTCAATTCATTCATAAAAAAGTATTTCTTCATTTTATTTTAAATTAGTCACTTTAATTTTTCGCTTTTTAAATTTTATGTCAACAAAATAATGTCATGATTATTTTTGTTGGTTTAATTTAACAATATATAAACAACTTAAAAAGATTGACTATAATTTTATCCAGGCGAGGGGGTTTAAAGTTTTGAGTTAACTAATAAATTCATTTTTAGTTTGTTATCACATATAAATAAATCAGCAATAAAATAATAGACACCTAACCTAATTTGAACCCTTTCTCATTCGATCTGAGCAACTGGTCAATTTCAGTATATCGTTTGATTGTTCTAATGTGACCGATAATTTTTGGGTTAATGTCCAAATTGTATCATTAAATTAAGCAAGTTTTACTCATACAATTTTTTTTTATTTATTATTATAAATAAATATTTTTTTATTATAAAAATAAATGTTTTTTTAGTGTTAACAAATTTGGTTTTTTTGTTTCAAAAAAAAATAATAATAAATTTTTTTGAAAAATAAATAATAAAAAAAACCAAACGATATTTTAAAAACTTTGAGTATTCAAAAATATTTTTTTAAATAATTATCTCCGTATCAATCAAATCAATAAATTATTTACAAAAAATGTGAATATTCTACTGGACTTTACCAATCCCTAGAACATAAACTAAACGGTATTAATAAAATATTTTTTATTACAATATATTTTGTCCTAAATATGGGTTTTTTAGATTATTGCATTGGCACTAGGCCCTTCTTGTCATTCTATTAAGGGGGGGGGGGTGATATGACATAAGATCTTTATTAGGAGGTAGTAGCCGAGCACTTCTACTGCGGGAGGTGGGTGTATGGCGCAAGATCCCCACTAAAATTAGAGTGGTGTAAGTAGTTATGACGGCGCTATCGTCATAATTAGAATTGGGAGGAGAGGGTGGTAGTTGACTTGGATTTTTTTCCCCATTTTGATTTTAGTGAGTCTTGATTTGGTGGGAGGTATGCTTTGTTAAATTTTATAGAGCAGGATTAGTTAGGGATTGGGGTGTAAAAGGAATGGTGATAGTAGATTTTTCTTTTAACCTTGATTTTTTAGCCCATTTATGTTATATATTCCTTTTCGCTTAAAGCAATATTATCGTCATGGTTTTTTAATACTCACCTCCCATCTGTTTATATAATTTTGTTTTACCCACACTGCGCGTAATTAAAAGGGGGAAGAATTTGATAGAAAAGTTAATAAATTTTTAAAATAATGACTATAATACAACATTTTTAGAAAAAAGGCATTTTTATAAAAAAAAGTGAAACCCCAAAATTATGTTATAAAAATAGCCAAAAGGCCTATAAGTTGAGCCTAAAAATCTGCATTAAAATTTATAGCAGAAAACCCTAACTAATTATGTTTCCCACTATATGAAAACCCTGGATACGCGTATGACTCATCCGCACAATATTTAAAAATCATTTTATTGATTGGTTTGGATCTTTATTTATATCTTTTTAAAGTATTATAAAATAAAAAAAATGATTTTTAATTTCGCTCAAAAATATTTCAAATTCATCCCCCCATTATTTTGAAAATATTTTTTAAATCTCCCACCCAATGTTTAAAATATTTTAGACTACCTGCCCACTTGTGGAATGGGCAGATGAGTTAAAACTCTACCCATTGCAGACCTCTATGTCCCTGCAATGAACATAATATTTTATTAAAATAAAATCATTTTAAAAATATTCAGCCCAAAACAAGCACTTCTAACCCCCCCCCCCTCCGTAGGGAAATTTTTTAAAAAATAATTGTTGGGCAGGCGTTCAGGTTAAAACTTGCTCATTGCATATCCCTATTCACCCCTTAAGCCAGTGACGATATTACCTCCTCTTACCAAATCACACATAGCAAAAAAAGTAATTTCAAATCAAAACTAACTCCCCCCCCCCCCCCACCCATATAATTTGAATTTTCATAACTACATCTCCCCTCCATTTTCAATGACTTGCATCAATCACCCTCAATGGTAGGACTCCCTGGTTATACCTACCCTCCTTTAGTAGAACTTTCTGAATTCTTGATCATTTCCACCATGCCAAGGTATAAATAAAAAAAAATTAAATTGTAGGATTTATGCTTTATAATTTGATGGTTTTTATTTATTTATTATGGCTTTTTTCTACGAAGACTAATGTGTGAACCACATTCACAATGGAATTTACATTGTTATGATTTGTTTATTTATAAAAAGAGTAACTGGTAACTAATTACTGTTACATTTAAAAAGTAACTATTATTGTTAATAATTAGTTATATGGTACAAAATTTCATAATGTTTGTTCAACGTCGAAAGAACGAATGGCTTCATCAGAAATTATTGATAAAATCAAAATATTAAAAAAGAGAAAATTTAGATAAACAAGTCCGGGTTGTGTTTGAAACTGAATCTAATACTTCAATTGCAGAAAATAATAAAAATACAAAATATTTATTTTCAAGCAAATTATCTTTATCTTTTGTAAAATATTTCCATAATTCAGATTTAAAAAATTCTTTTATTTTAAAATAATAGCGTTATCTGCGGAATTATAAATTCACGGGGAAGAATAATGAGATATTCATTTAATACTATTTTTGAAATAAAAAAATTAAATGAAATGCATAATTCGATTTTTTGCATAAAAAATATTGATTTCAATAACATTTGGTTCAAAGGGAGGTGATGAAAAATCAATAAATATAGGATCGGTCTTGAACCAATATCGGATCGGATCGGTGAAAAATATATGGATCGGCACAGCCTTAGTAAGGATGGTGTTCCTAGTCTTCGTACACTTGGCGCTTCCGCCTTCCCTTGCCTCTGCGACTCCGTGCGCTGTCCTCCATAATGCTCACGCGGACACCACCTCCTAATGTGCCCCGTGTCTCCACATCAATAGCACAATGATACCTACTTCCTGAATTCGGTTCTCCCCTTCCCAATCTATTTACCAACACACCTTCCCTAACGAAGGCTATCCGTTCACTCATGAGCGGCTCCATGTCTTTGCTAATGTTTGTTGTTCGCGCTAAATGTGTCCCCAGATCTACATATCTGCGTATAATTTAAATATAACATCAAACTAGTTATATTGCAAATTGCTTAAATTTTTTTATTTCGATTTACAAATGATAAATATTTATTTGTACCAAAAAAATATATAAATAACCCAATAGAATATTTATATTTTACCCAAATTTGGGGTTAATAAATTTTATTTGATTATTTAGGTATATAATATTTTCAAAGTTGCTGTCTTAAAAAGTGTGATATCTTTCTCCCAAAATAAGGGTTTATAAAAAAAATTTACGGGCAAGAATTTCGAAAAATTTTTGACCCGAAAAAATACACCAATTCGGTATTTTACGGTTCGTTTTTCAACTTTTATGGAGATCATTTAATATCTAATAACTTTTATCCTTATTCTAAAATGAAGATAATTTTTCAAACCAAAGAAAAGAATACATTTGTGTTCTTTTTTGGCGATATGTATTTTATTTTTTAATATATGTTGTTTAATTGACTATAAAAATTAAAATTATAATGATTAGACTCTAAATTAATAACTATTTTTTACCTACCACATTAAAGTATATAAGGGCAAATTAAAATGATATGGTTGGTTTGGTAATGTTCTGTTATTTTATAATAATTTATGAAATTTAATAATCTATATAAAAAATATACCTTTAATATTAGCCGGATTTAGTTATTTTATTTTATTGTAATTCTTTAAATAGTAACTATTTATGGGAATTATAGAGAAAATTTAATATATTGATCTCGAATCAAATGAGAGCTTCTTTCGTAAGAATCAATTTAAACTATATTGATTAGCTTCAGATTGGGCTGTGCCGATTAACAATTTACCGATCCGATCCGATATTTTCTGATATTACCAAAAACCGATCCGATATTAATATTGATTTTTATTTACCATCTATTTTTTTTATCAATGCCATAAATATATCAGTATTTTATACTTTAAAAAAACAACTAACTTTCACGAATGATTAAGTGTATTTTATTTTTTTAATTTTTCATAAGTTAATATTCTCATTTAAAATATTTGCAATCTTTATGGGTGAATGTAGTGTTGTTAAACAACTCCATTTAGTCGATTTTTAGAAAGGGCCAAATCAAAATTTTAACCAAAATATTATTGCCTATGCCTCGAAATTTTGCCAATAGAAGTCCAAACCTTTCTTATATCTGTGGGAAAAATCAATAAGCATGGGTAATTTACTCTTGGCTAAAATTTTGAGTTAAATCGGTTTTAAAATTGGCTAAATTAAGCCGTTTAGCAACACTAACTGAATGTGACTCTTTAGATGTTTTAAAATCCTTTTCTTTGCAGGTAATATAACAAAAAATAGTGTAAAATTTTAATCTATTTCAAATATTGCAACAAATAAATTGTATATTAGTGCCTTTCATTAATTGATTATTATGAAATTATTTATAAAATAAAAAAAAATTGTTTATATATACAATTATAAAATGACTAAAAACAATAAAAAAGTATCGGATCCGTTTTTTAAAAAAGATCGGCCTAATTTTGAAAACACTAAGTATCGGCGCTGATCCCAGCCTACATTAAATATCGGCACAGCCCTAATTTCAGATTTTTTTAAAAAACCATTATTTATTAAAAATATCTTTTAAAATTCCAATTTGGGTATATATTTTTGTTTTTTAAACATAATCGATACGATATGATGGAAAAAATATCAAAACTTAAAGTATAGGGTCAAGACACTGTGAAGACTATTATCTTGATCTCACAATCAGTTTTATGATCATAGTATTAATTAGCAGAACTAATTTTTTTTTAAAAAAAAGAAAATAAGATATGGGTAGTCTTTGAGATTCACCAAATATGAGTTATTGAAGATGACGCTATTTTATTGTCTCTCGAATCTCTTTAAATTAATAATAGCAGTAGAAGTGTTTTAAAAAAGAATCAACGATCATATTTTAATGATGCTCATCAATTTTAGTCTGTACCGTGTTGTATACATGTAAATAATAAATATTTACCTTTATTTTTAAACGGAAATTATCAAAAATAGCTGAAAGCTTCTCGTGGTGATTAATACTATGATCAAAATTTTGAGGTAATTGTTTATTATATTCATTTCTGGAGCAAACCTTGGAATGCATTTTATAAAAAAAGCTTTCTAATACGAATGATTTCATTTTAAGCATCACAAAATAATTAAGTTATTAGTTATACTTTCATTTTAATAATTCTTTAAAATCAATCCACGATCAATAATTAACAACAAGATAAAAAAAAGATGGAATATTATGAGTGTGACGTATCCATTATTTTCATAATGGTAGGGGGGCTTTTAATTAGGCCCCTTCTTTTAAAACTTGGTCCGATTTATATATCTTTAAAAAATATTATCTTGGTTTTAGATTTTAAAAAAAATTATCTATTATAGTTTTTATATAATGATTGACTTGACTTATTTTTAAAAAATATGGCTTCTTTTTGACACATTTTTGGAGGAAGGGGAGTGAGTGGGGGAGTGTAATTTTTGTTTGTTTAAAATGATATTTACGAAAACAGGCAAATTTTCTGAGAGGATGGGGATTTCTTGCTCTGTTTGCAAAACAGATAAGCTCCGAAACCAATTATA